AGATATGCATATCATTCTTTTTTTATTTGAAGATGTACACATGATATATCTTATATTGGAAAATTACCAATAATATGTAAACGTAATCTATTCGTATTTTTTAATTGTGTGCCTTAGAGTTTAAATATTTGTGCGTTTAGTTAAGAATTTTTTAATAATGTATTAGATTTCTTTAGCATTTAATTCGTGAAATATTTATATCTTTTGAGATTTTGAATTTAAATATTTTATTAATCTTTTATATATAATATTATAAAAGAAAAATAATTAGTTTTTGGATAATTTTTGTCTATAACAGCCAAAATATATTTAAATGCCAAATGCTGTTATAGGTGTATAACAACCATTCAGTATAAAAGCTGAAAAATTTCGGAACAAACGATGCGGTTATAGAGAGTTTGACTGTATACCTTTATTTAATGCTTTTCATTTTTAAGTTTTCTATGCTATGTGGTCAATGTTTTTACTTTCAAGAACAATTAATACTAAGGGAAAATTAAAAAAATAAAAATAATATACCTTGATTTTCTAAAATAAGAACTATTTTGGACCAGATATATATAGTAACAACAACAACTAATATGGACCGGAGAGAGTAAACTATTTTTAAATATAAAAAGATAATATTTTTTCTGGACACATAAATTGGGACAAAGAGAGTAAATAAAATAAAGGAGTTGTGTAGGGATTACTTTCTATAAATACCAGCTAAAATTCATTCTTTTCATATTGCTTCCTCACAAATATGCAAATCATAACAAGTATCAACATGATAGGAATATTTCTAGTGCTAATCTTTTCTTCTTCCTTTGCTTATTCTACTCAACTTCCACCACTTCCATTTAAGAAGCTCCAACTTCCTCTGCAAACAGTTGGCCCTGATTCTACCGCTTTTGATCTTAAAGGCAACGGACCTTACACGAGTGTGGCTGATGGTAGAGTACTCAAATATCAAGGTCCAAATATTGGCTTCATTGATTTTGCTACCACATCACCATTGAGGTAAAACATAACATGTTTTTTCTTTTTTTTTTTCCCACTTCATTCTAGTTTTGAAGGGGAACGATAGAATAACTGGTAAAGTTGCTGGCATGTGATCAGGAAGTGACGGGTTCAATCCGTGGAAACAACCTCTTGCGAATATGCAGGGTGAGGCTGCAAACAATAGACCTTTGTGGTCCGGCCCATCCCCGAATTCCGTGCATAGCAGGAGCTTAGTGCACTAGAATGCCTATTTTTCGATTCATTCTAGTGTTAAATTGTAAGTTTTATTGTTTCTCTTTAGGACAAAGGAGGTATGTGATGGCACAAATGATCCAAATTTACTAATCACATGTGGAAGACCTCTTGGCCTTGGGTTTTATCACAAAACTGGTGACCTTTACATTACTGACATAAATTATGGCCTCTTGTCCGTTGGACCAAACGGAGGTCTCGCCACACAACTTGTTTCGGGCATAAATGGTGTTCCTTTCGCCTTTGCTGACTCACTAGACATCGACCAAACAGGGGAAGTCATATATTTTGTTGATTCAGGATCAATATTTCGCACCAGGTTTGCCTCATTTCAGTTTTCAATGAACTTTGGATTTTCAGAGATGTTGTAAAATCTACTTATCAGGTCATCTTAATAACAAATTATAGGGGTAAATTTCACAAATGGTCATATATGGCGTTTTTTTCACTAAAGTCATATAACTTTGTTTCTCATACAAAGTCATATAATTATGACTTTTTTTCACTAAAGTCATATAACTTTGTTTTCTCACACAAAAATCATATAACTATGAATTTGTTTCACTAAATCATATAACATTATCTTTTCACATAAAAATCATATAACTATAATTTTTTTTTACGAAAACCATATAATTATTTTCTCAACAAAAATCATAAAACTTTTACTAACTCACACAAAAATCATAGTGATTGAAAAAATATAATTTTTCACTAATATTTTCTTATTTTGTAGATTTTTATTTTCTTATTTTCAGCCTAATAAATAATAATCCAATTAAAAGGAATGACTCAATCCAACCTGGCCCACCCGACCCAATATACATGATACTTCTATTTTTTTTTCGAGAAATTTATTCAAATTTATAGCATTTTTATTTCAAGTGCTCTCTAATTATATCTTTTATTTCTTTATTTTTTTTGTTAGAATCTCATGTATTCCGAATTGAATTTTTTATGGGGGAAGAATTCACTTTTAGTAAATAGGAGTGACCCAACTTTTAATTTATATATATGAGTATTGGGTCCGGTGAGCCAGGTCGGGTTGAGTCATTCATATTTTAATTGGATTATTATTTATTAGGCTGAAAATAAGAAAATAAAAATCTATAAAATAGGAAAATACTAGTGAAAAATTATATTTTGTGATCACTATGATTTTTGTGTAAGTTAGTAAAAGTTTTATGATTTTTGTGTGAGAAACATAATTATATGATTTTTGTGTGAAAAGACAAAGTTATATGACTTTAGTGAAAAAAAAGTCATAGTTATATGATTTTTGTGTGAGAAACAAAGTTATATGACTTTAGTGAAAAAAAGTCATAGTTATATGACTTTCGTGTGAAAAAACAAAATTATATGACTTTAGTGAAAAAAAACCATAGTTATATGACCATTTGTGAAATTAACCCTGAATTATAGGTAAATGTCTAATGAGTATGAATCAATAACGTAGAACAGGGCAGTGGCGTAGCCACCCTATGCCTAGGGTGGTCAAGTGCACACTTATACCGTATATATAAGTTAAATACTATGTTATATGGTTATCTATTATATTTTAAACACCCTTAACACAATTGAATGAGGCAGTCTAGCGGTTCAAGGTGTTCAAAGTGATGTGTTATTCACAGGTTCACAGTTCTGCCTGTTTTATTTGCTAAAACTAAACTGAGACAACCTTGTATTGTCTATTTGATTCTTTTTCAATGTAAAAAAGTTTTTAATAAAATGACTCTTAAAACTCAAAATTTGTGTTGAATGAAACAACTAATCTAATAAGTAATTTTTTAATTAAGTGTTATTTCTTAAATAAATTTTATAATTTAGAATTCAAGCTCTACACAAATTTCTTCAACAAAAGCTCTCTACAAACTACAGATCCGCTCGACTCTCTCTTTTCTTTAATTTGGTTTTATGCTTACTTTTATTAGTAAAATTTCTAATGTTGTCCTTTTGTTATTTTAATTTTGATTTATAAAATCATAGTTCTATTAAAAGTTTTTTTATTGTTTAGATAAATATTGCATAGTTTGATCTAAAAGTTTTGGTACACCATTCATCGACAAGTTTGAACATCCTAAACGAAATTTCTGACTACGCCACTGGAATAAGAGTGAGTGACTTGTTAAATTATGAGACATAAAACTCAAATTTCATTATGAACTTACATCTAATATATCTCATGACTAAAGCTTGAAACTTTTGCCATATTGACAGAGACATAAATTTGATCCTTCAAAGTGGATATAGAACAGGGAGATTTTTCAAGTATAATATAAGAACAAAGCAAGTTACATTATTGTTAAGTGAACTATCAGGGCCAGCAGGGGTGGCACTAAGTTTAGATGGTTCATATGTTCTGATCACAGAAATAATTGCTAGTAGAATCAGGAGATTTTGGCTCAAAGGTCCAAAAGCGAATTCAGCAGAAATATTCGCAAACCTTACTGGACATCCAGATAACATAAAGAGGACGATCTTAAGGATTGATGTGCTTGGGAATGTTGTCGTCTCGCTGAATATCACAGCTCAGTATCCTAATTCCTTTTCTGAAGTTCAAGAATATTTTGGCAGACTTTATATAGGTTCTTTTTTCCTCGAATATTTTGTTGGTGTTTATGGAGTTTGAAGGCTAATATGACCGTCCAAGTATGTTACTTTAGGCCTCAATAATAAAGGTGTCAAAATTTTATTATATATAAAAAACACATAAAAGGGCTATTTTCATTCTTTAAGCAACACTAACCTTTGTGGAAATTGATATAAAATATCTTCCTATGGTTAATGAAATATATCGCGGCAGTCTGGTGTGTGACTGATCACGTGTTCGACGAATACTTGCATTAGGATAAACTATCTATCTCGCATAAATATATCTCCAAATGCTTCAATTTGAGGGAAGGACCAACTTCCAAATGCTTCAATACCCGAGAATGTCTTTTAGATAATTAATTGTTCAAGAGAGAGAGAGCAGTTGGAGAGAAACAAATTGGCAACTTGACTGCACACTAGTCCATTCTTCAACGAAACAATCTAATTTTCCTGTTATATAACATGTGTTCAACTTATACAACTTCTCCAAATCCAAATTCGACTAGTCCTTGGTTTCAAAATCTAACCAATTTGTTTCGAGTTTGGTTTTATATGCTCTGCCAATAAGCCCGATTTCTTTTACCTCCTATAGCAAACTATTACACTATATTTATGGGATTTTTAAATTCCCATGTCATATAGTAAACTATATTACTCTCCATGCTTAAGTTTTAATATAATTACCTTTTATATACCTAATTATCATTTATGTACATTTTAGGGGTTTGTCACACCTCCTTTTTTACACACCTCCCAGGGAATGATAGTGTATAAGGGAGTTTTTCCACTTTAAGTGACATTATTCGAAATGGGATTGTTTATTTATCAGAGTCGCCACTTGGGATAGTTTATTTGGTGTCCCAAGTTACCGGTTTATTTTGAATCCCAAATCGAGGAAAATTCGACTTTCCTTGTGAAGTCTGCGAACCAGAAATTGTGACTAAGGAATTCTGTTAACCCGGGGAAGGTGTTAGGCACCTCCGGATTCCGTGGTTCTAGCACGGTCGCTTAAACTATCATAATCGGCCTATTACCTGATTTTAGTACATGTTCTAGCCTATGGTACAATTTTAACTTATTTACCGCTTTTAATTAGTTTTTAAGGAAGATTGAACGTCGTTTAAAACGTGCCTTTGGATCACGTCATATGAAATGCACCCACAATCCGAAACACATTTTATTCAACGTTTTAGGATTTGGATTTGGGTCACATGAAATGCACACCCGAATTTAAGAAGGTAATATTATTAAAAGACGCGCCTAGAGCGACTAACGCGTTGTTAACTTTGCGAGGGCCATGGAAATTTTAACTAATGGCACACGTCGATTTCTGAAGAGTTAAAGTTAATTATCCGAGGGCCATGGGTTTTGGGGTTTTATTGCTTGTAGGTTCCTTTTTCAAAATTATTCAATCGTCCCAAGTAATTACCTGAACAACCAAACAGTCCAGAACAAGTAAGTTTCTACCGCAAACCTTATGTCCCAAATATTTCTTATTTTGAACAGAATCCCCAACCCAATTACGGTATAACCAATTCAACCAAGCCAATCTTCCTATCAGTCGAATAATCCCTCTCACTATTCCAATATTTTAGCTAATAACAACGAAAAAACAAAAGATAAAATGCATTCATCATATTATAGACCAATTTCTCACAATGAACAATGAAAACACAAAAGACAAACAAGTATATAACTCAAGATACCCGTTTTAACATGCTGGTTCAGAGATAAACAATGATAGCCATAGACCAAAAATTTAGCATGAGATTTAAGAGTAATATTATATCCCTACATATAAAACACAAAGAAAATACAAGAACAAGAGTCAGAAGAACCTTTTTATTAGACTAAATTTGAACTTTGTTTGTTGGACAACTTGAAAATTAAAGAGCGACCGAGCCACGAACAAGCACCTCAAACGGAGAACTCGTCGGCGACCTCAAACTCGACTGAAATTTTGGCACTGTTTCACGAGGGAATTAGCAGCGATCTAGGCTACTACTTCAGGATCGTTTCTGGGCCTGTTTCGCTGGTGGTGCTCGTTAATCCAGCGAGCTGCTGGAGCTTTTTTTTTTTTTTTTTTTACGGCGAGTTTCAGGCAGCCATGGTTAGCTTTGTTTGCGTCTCTTTGTTTGGTGTTGTGGTTGTTTTATGGTGGAAATGGCTAGAGGAAACAGAAGAAAGGCATGTACAAGGGTGGTTGTTTTTGACGTGAGGGATGGCTGAGGCTGCTCGATGAAGAGGGTGGACGATGGTTACTGGTTTTTTGGCTGGTCGTTGGAATGGTTGGAGATGGGCTGGTTGTTGTGATGTTCAGGGGTGTGGTTAAGAAGAAACCATCGAAAATGGCTCTTCTCTGAAGAAGGAGCTCCGTCGATGGGGAGGGGGTTGTGAAGGAGGCGAAGTTTCAGGGAGGCGGGTTCTGTATTGTGGCGTTACCTTTAGTCTTTTTGGCGTATTTTTTGTTGTCCCATGTGTTTTTGCATAGGTAGTATTATATAGGGTAGGGATTAGGTTAAGGGTAAGGGCCTAGGAACCATGAGCTAGGGATTTTGGGCCAAAGATTAAAAAAATGGACTATAAAATTTATAAAAACGGGATAAATCAACCTAAAACTAATTCTTTCTTTTAAAATTATGTACAATTATAATATAAAAATATAAAACTAATTTTAATTAATTGAACTAAACTATAAAACATAAAACTATTTTTTTTTGTGTTTTCAAGATTATAAAAATAAAGATAGGGTACTATTTTTGTATTTTTTTTAAGATTAAAAATGACTATAAAATATTAATAAACCTATTTTTTTGTAATTTTTCATTTTCTTGTAATAAAATAAAGTAAAATAGTAAAAATTAGTTGAAATGGCGATATTAGGCCTAAACTAAATATTTACATGCTAAAATGGGTAAAATTTTGGGGAGGGTCAAAAATCACATGTCAACAGGGTTTTAATGGTATTAATTAGTCTCCTAATTTAACTCTACCGTATATTCCCACTCCCCCACGTTTCTCTCTCCAAATCCCACCCCCTCACCCACGTATCAAACCACACCCCACGATTTCCTCTTCAATCACCCACTATTTCCTTTTCTAAAACTAGCGAAAATCTGTAACCCCTCCATTAACGCCTATTCTCAAGTTCTTTCTTCTAAAATCAGTCAAAATTTCTACTATTCTTCAAAGTTCATTCACCCATTAACGACCAGCTTCAAAGATTTTCAATGAAGAAGAACAGAGCTTCAAAGAACAACCCTAAAAAGTTAAAGAAGCATATGTTCCTTCTTTCGATTTGGGTGTTTTATCACCACATTCACCCGAAAAGCATGAAAAATCTGCTCATGCAAATGAAGAGAAGAAGCATAGGCTTTCCCCTCGTCAAGCTAGGCAGAAGCTAGAACTAAACAAAAATATGATTTTGATGCTGGTGAATCTTCGAGGCAAATCAATTCAGCGAAAAGAAAAGGCAAAGAGATAGATTTTGATGATGTTTTTGTAGAAGATGAACCTGTCATTAAACCTGCAAAGAAAGTTAAAGTGTCTCCTACTGTAAAATCTCCTAAAAATGTTCAACAACATTCATTGGTGAAGGTAAGAATTTAGTAATTTCAACAATAGTTTTTTTGTTTGTTTTAATTCTTAAAAGGCTCCATAATCTGTGTTTTTTGTTGTTTGTAGATTATTTATCTACATTGTAAAGATTAGTTGTAGTTTTCTGAATCTGTTTAAACCTGTAGATGTATTGTAAAAAAAATTGTAGTTATATTGTTTTTAACTGTATTATGTAGCTGTAGATATATTGTATGACAAATGTAGATATGTTATTTTTTAGATTGGAGCAGTGTATTAATAAGAGATTATTTATTTTTTGTGCAGAATGGACATTTTTTTGCACCTCATAATGTTGATTATGGGGTCCTTAGGTTTCAGACATTATCCGACCCTTTGTGAAAGTGAGTTGACTGGCAGATTAGTAAGAAAAAAAGGTGCACAGTTGTGAACGAAAAAACACAAGTCTGGAGGAAGAAGAATTAGTTGCAATTTTTTGTATGGAACATGTAGTTAAATTATTTAGTTGCAGCTATTTTTGTTGAAAGATAGTAGACAAGTTTATGAACAAGATTGTTGAAGTTTAATTGTAGTAGATTTGTGCTACAATTATTTTACCCTTTGTTTTTTTATTTTATCCAGTATACTAGCTCGAACAATGGGAAAATATTCTGTTATTTTTATATTCACTTGTTGAAAGTAAACAGTACTTGATCTAATTATTGCTACTGGTTAACTCCTTTTCAATTTAATTATGTAGTTACTCTGTCAACTCCAGATTATGTAGTTATTTTGTAGATAAATTGTAAGGATCATTAACAACTATCGATGGGTGCTAGAGATAATAAAACAATTGTGTATTATATATATAGAAATCACTCACAAACCAATCAAGCTATGAAAGTATTAACTCAATACAGAATACTAATTAAACAAAATAATTTCAAACTAACTACATTAAGAGTTGAAGGCGCCTCAACTATTACATCAAATATAATGTGGCATGCCGGGATAAACAATAGATGTTGCCTTCAAGAGTCTCATTCCGATCCGAAACAACACACATATTTGGTTTTTCACCATATGCATGTTTGAATTGCTCAAAAAATCACTTCCATGATGCGTCATTTTCTGAATCAACAACAACATATGCTAGTTGCCTTGAAGTGCCATGTACAATTTTCACCAACAAATACCAGCCAGTAGCTACAAAATAAAAATAATTTAAACACTGGTATAAAAAATGTAGATTAAAAAAAAACTGTTGTAGCATAAAAGATCATATTCAACAATTTATATATAAAACAACTACAAACTATCTACAATTTTGTTAAACAATATGACAAGAAAAACTAAAGAAGTAAAAATTTACAAATAAACTACAAAATAAAAAAAAAGATTTTTTACCATTCATATGTTCCTACCTTCTAGCACTAGATCTTTTCACCCTAAATTGGGACTTGTTCATGACAGAATAGTGCTTCATTACACTTGCAATTGTTTGCTT